TTATCAAAGTTTAGTTTTCGTTTGTATCAAAACTGTCCATAGAAGTGATTTTCTTTTTTTCTTTTTTACATTTTAGATAGATCTCAGAATTTGTTTTCCTACCTAAAAGGTGGGAAAACCTTTTCCTCTCACGCCAAGAATGAGGCGCGTGAGTGGAAAAAAATTTGCACAAATTCCAGGAAAAAAGTAGGCCATCAAACAAGACTTTTGCAAGGAAAAGGAAGAGAAATTCCATTTTCCATGGAAAAGGGTGTTATCACAATATTTTTGTCAAATCCCTTGTTTAATACACTAAATGTTTCCATTTTTTGTTTGTTGTCATACCTATGTCCCCATCCTTTTTGTCGCATTCTAATTTTCTATTAATTAGCAAATCCGGTGTTTACTAATGATATCCATACAAATATTTTATTAGCGTGATTTGAAATGAAAGAAAAATATTAACCTACCTTTGTATTTTTTATTTTGTTATGACCACTTAAACAGATTTCTTTTAATGAAAACTGTCAAAAGAGGATAATAACACAATGACAAAATTGTATATATAATATAAGCATGAAAATGAGCAAAAAGTTAAAAGATTTACTGAAATTAAAAAGTAGCGCACAAATAAAAATTCTAATGCGAATATAATTCTCCTTCTATCATTTTTAAAAATTAATAGAATGGCGTAATTGAGCCCCTATTTGTCTCTATTCTTTCAAAACAAAGTATTTCTACGTTCATAAATACAAAAATTTTTCTTATTTTTTAACCATATATTCTCCCATTTATTCAAAAAAAAAAAAAGTCTCGAACTGACGATTGGTTCGTCCATTCTAAACTAGCATACCGATCTTTTTTCTTTCTTTAATCTCAAAATGAGGATAAATCAAATCCGTTTGAAAATAAAATAAAAATTTTGACGGAAATTGGACAATTTTGTTATTAGAAATTGATTGTACACTTATAATAAAATGTTTAAGACCAAATCATTCATTTTTCCTACTCAAACAATAATTGTTTGGAACCAAAGATGAACTTAAATGAATATATTAACAATAATTTTGTTAGTTAATTTCGTAAAAAAATATTCTTTGATTAAAAAAAATTGAGAAATTGACACAAAGAGAACGAGAAAGAGTAAAGCAGTCTTTTGTAATTTATTTATTTATTTTTGATGATTTTAGCATATTTTGGATAAAGAAGTTTTTCCTAACTTTATCCATGTCCTTGATCGAGACATTATAATTATACTATTTCTCTAATTCGACGAGTATGTGATATCTCGTTCAGATCAAATCGATGACTAAATGTGATTCTCGAAAAAACCTTCATATCAAGTTTATATCTTACTTTTACAAAGCATTAAAATTAAGTTTAATGGGGGGCAATAAAACTATGATCGTAGAGGTGATTCAAGCAATACGAGGGCCATAAGCAAAATCGAAGATTTTTCAAAAATATTAATAAGTAAGGCGAAGGGGATAGGAACAAAAGGGCTCGCATAGTATATGGCCATAGACAAGACATTTCCCCATCCAAGTTGGCTAAAAATTGTTATTGACGTACACTTGGACAAGAGTTTAAAACGCGACTCCAAAGTCAATGAATGCAAGACGCATAAACTAATGAATAAAACGTGATACTATTACAGAATTAGTTACAAGATAGCCGATAAGATGTCACCATCTGTCATTTTTCTTAAATGACTCAATTGCCTCGTAGCCTTGAGAGAAATATATAAATACTCCCGCTTAAGAGATAAAAATCGTGCAAATATAAATATCTCACTCTCAAATAGTTATTTCTCATCTTGCTTCAATTTGAGTATTAAAACTAATGAGTTTAGGACGTGAAAATCCTGACTAGGTGAGAGGAATTTGTCGATCCAATTTCTATTGTCAACGGTTCCCCATAATACAATGAATTTGGGGAAATTTGTAGCAAAGCTCACATAGCTTCCAAAATTGTATCGTGGTCTTAAACTTTCTAATAATAGAACATACATCCCAAATGTTTTAATAAATGTGTGCCCAAAAAATATTCGGATGATTTCTTCCAAAAGACCATCAGCTAACCAAAATTTAATCTTCAAACATGTGGGTTTGGAAGGAGCGGGTGAGAAATCCCCTTGCTGGTGACAATTGCAATGGCTTGGTGTGTTAGTGGTAATTATAATCGATCAAACTTTGGTCAATTTAGGGTTAAAACTGACTATAAATCCTTCGAACGTACATCTACAAAAGGCTTGAGACGCAGGTGTTAAGATTAGAAGGTTTGGGACCTGATGGCACACTTTAAAAAGGATTGGTACCTGTGCTGCAAATATTTCCTAAATTTATAATTGGCCATATTGGCTATTTGGCTTCGCCCTTGTTTGGGCTTCATATAAATTAGGGAAAATTGCAGTCACGGTATCAAATCTTTCATATTTTTACAGACTTTACTCAAACCTTTGTTTTATGCCACCAATGGTAACAAACATTTAAACAATTTGCACCCGGAGTCCAAAATAACGGTTTCTGTTAGTTTGACTCCAAAAATCGTCAATTAACCCAGAAATTAAAAATTTAATAATTTTCTCTAAATAAGGTAAGGACATTTTTGACATAATACATTTCCTTTATTAAATCAAAAATTAAAAAAAAAAAAAAACTACAGCTCCCTATCCCACCCCACTCCCATCTCCTTCTTCCGCAACCCCCATCAACCTACAACCTCCACTTCATTCCTATACATGCCGTCGTCAAGCCCACCGCCACCACAATTTCAGTCTCTCCAGTCAACCATTCACTATCGTCGCCTATTTTTCCTTCCGATGTCCCTGTCCCAGGCAAAGCTTACAGTAAGCATTCTCCGGTAACAACCCCTTGTGACTGGTCCTCTCGCCTCTTCCTCTTCTCTGCCCCACCTTCCTCTATTCCTCTACCTCCAAACACAGACGCAGGGCAATCTCCAGTTGCTTCCCAGTTGGATCTAAACAATTGCAAAAGTTTCCACCCTACCCTCTACCGTATCCTACCCCCACATGCCCCATTATCCTTCACCTCCACAACCGCTTTTTTCAGAGTAGATTCCAATTAGACGTGAAATGAAATCAGGTGATTGGGCAGTATCAAAAATCAATTGTTGGAGGAAATTGGGCAATATCAAAATCAATTGTTGGTGTGTAATTGCTGTAATTGACTGCTTACCCATGTTCTTACCACCATCAATTNCAATATCAAAATCAATTGTTGGTGTGTAATTGCTGTAATTGACTGCTTACCCATGTTCTTACCACCATCAATTGAATACTTATTGGTCGAATTGAACCATTGTAGCAGAATATAATCATCAACAAAGCTCAAATCGTGACTTTCACACAGAATTTTCACTGTAGCCACAAATTGAGAGGGTTCACGGTTCAATTGGGGTTGACCCATAGCTGGGATAGGTGAAGGCGCACCTAGCCCAGGTAGTGCGCAACCCTGGTTCGTCGGAACGGCGCCAGAATTGGTAGAAAGGCAGTGCGTTGTCGCGAGCTTCGCGAGTCGCGACAATCTGTTCTACTGGGATTAATTCGATCTGTTGGATAGGTGTTTGGGATGAATTGTTGGTATGGTTGGGGTCGCCTTGTGGTGGGCTTTCGATCGGATGCTAAGGTGGCACATTGGTTGGTCATTCTGGCGACTGCATGTGTCGGAATGAAGTGGAGGTTGTGGGTTGAGGGGTTTAGGGAAGGAGGAGATGGGGGTGGGGTGGGGTAGTTGTAGTTGTGTTTTTGTTTTTGTTTTATTTTTTTTTTAATTTTCGACTTAATAAAGGAAATGTATTGTGTCAAAAATGCTCTTATCTTATTTGGAGAAAATTATTAGATTTTTAATTTCTGGTTCAACTGACGGTTTTTGGAGTCAAACTAACAGAAACCATTATTTTGGACTCCGAGTGCGAATTATTTAAAGGCTTTGTGCCGTGAGTGGCACAAAACAAAGGTTTGGACAAAGTCTGCAAAAATGTGAAAAGTTTGGTACCGTGGCTGCAATTTTCCTTATAAAATAAGGAAAAAAATAAACTAAATTTACGTATAATATTATTTTATTGAAAGATGTGCACTTGAAAATAAAAAAGAAAAAAAAATGTATTTTAGAAAAAATCCAAACACGGGCTTCAATTAACGGGTCCCATTCCTAAACTCTTTCAAAAGTCTAAAAGCGGCCACCTCAATTTTGAAACTGTTCCCTCCACTTTCAAGATTCAAACTTGTTATAATCCAATTAAAAAATGCACTGACCGGATAACAAAGAGATTGCTTCAATTCAATTTTGTTGATTTTACTCAGAATTAGATTTGATTTCTCTCTCGATGGATCTTCACCCTACACCATTTCCAGGTCCCCTGTTCTCTCTCTCTTTTTATTTTTTGAGAAATCATTCTTGTTATTTTTGGCTGTATGGATGAATGGGAAGAAGCATGCAATTTCAAGAAAATTTCTTATACTATAATTGCAGGCAAGGATCGGGCTATGAATGTGAAATCGCGCAAAAAAGTATCTGAGGCGACGAAAATGAGTACCAAGGGGACAGCGCCGCCCGTTTTGAGGTAAAGTTTCGATCTGTCTTCTTGATCTCCAAGTGCACTTGTAGTGTTTGTGTTTTCTGTGAAAACTGATTTCTGTCTCAGACGAACGCGAGTCTTTGGAACTGCTCGGAACCCAAACATAACTTCGAAACCAGTGCCCGAAAAGCCTACAACAAAACCCTCATCCATTGTGCTTCAAAAGGCTGCGAAACCATTACGTAAAACCCAATCACCTATTGACGTCCAGGCAATTCCAGAGACAGTGTCTACGAAGAATTCTGTAGAGAAAAACAGGATAAGGCCGAAGAAGAAAAGCGTGTCTTTTCAAGAGAAAAATGAAAAGAATTTGGCGAACGGAGATCTTTCGGAGCCTAAAACTCCAGTTAGATCGCCTTTTCTAGTCAAGCCTAGGCTTTCCAGCACCCCTTATCACAGTGCCGAGAGGTGCAGCAAATGTAGGCTCGATAGGCTCGAGACTTCATCGTACTGGCTTGGTCACATCAATTTGGCAGAGTCAGTCCAAAAGCACTTTGTTTCGGCCGCTTTCTTCCGGTTGGCCCTCGAGTCCAAAGCAGAGGTAACCATATACCTCGCTTTCTTCCTAACTCGGGTTCAAATTCTGTTTTTTCTATACTTTTTCTTGTGATAAAGAATTGCAAAAAAATTTCTTGATTACTAATTACTTGAGGAAAATTTGCTGTTAGCCCTTTCGCAACCTGCGAGTGGAACTTAAAAAATATTTGGTACGACACGAGTACTTATCCAACGACAAGGAATGGAGAAACCTGTCTGTTAACTATGGGCTACTAAAGGAAGAAAGCGATGGAGGTGAGGAAAATGGGAAGACGTGTGCAAATGAAGAGTCTGCAAGTGTACAAGATGAAGAAAAGGATTTGCAGAAAGAAAATTGCCAAGAATGTGAGATAGTAGAAAATTAAAGCCCTTTCAAATGTGATAACAGATAGCGTCAGAGAGGTTTTTTGCTTTCAAAATGTTATAAATGCTATAATAGGAAAATGAAATTTGCTGTAGTAGAATTCTGGAATCATTGTTTATTGACAATTTTTAACTTCCCATTTCCTATTTCCCAACAAGATTTTCATCTCAGAATGTGAATTAATATATGCACAAAATTGGATCTTATCTAAGTTTTCAACGGAAGTAGCTGTAGAGCTGATACCAGGTGGCTACTATATCAGGATATCAGAAAATGAAGGAGCCATGAAACCAAAAGATTGAGCATCTTCTTCCTCACTGTTCCTTGAAGAGAGCACGACCAATTATAAGTCGTCTAATCTCACTGGTGCCAGCTCCGATTTCATACAATTTGGCATCACGAAGAAGACGTCCAGTCGGATATTCATTTACGTATCCATTGCCCCCAAGACATTGAATAGCCTGAAACAGAAAAACCGAATTCACAACATTGCTAACTGTTTCTCTTGGAGATACTGGTTTGTCTCAAGTTCTTCCTCGAGATTCAGTCAGGATAAAAGGAGAAATACCATATTGAGTCAAGATAATAAAGTTGAAAATAACTAGCTTATTTGAAAGTAATCCCATTTTACAGTCAAAATAAGTTACTTATAAGAATAACATATTTGAGAATAAAAACGTACTTATTAAATTTTTATGGTTCTTTCAAGCTTTAGCCAAATACTAAAAACATCTTTTACTCAAAGTAGTGCAGTAAGGAAAAATGAAATTCGAAATAATATCAAATAGATTTTTTTCACCTGAAGAGCAACTTGTGTAGCTCTTTCAGCAGCGTTAAGTATAACACCAGCACAATCCTGATATCAAAATACATATATGAATTAGAAATGGAGCATTTAGAATTAACAATTACATGTATGGAGCTGTAAAAACTATACGGAGAACATAAGAAAAGATAATTAAAAACAATTAAACATAAGAAGAAAGTGATATTATGTGTGCACCTTTGGATCAATCTTTCCGTTGTCACAATCCCTTGCAACAGAATATACATACGCCCTGTAACAAATGAAAAACTTAATTTATAGCCAAATGGGGAAAAAATTCAATTAGATCCACTTAATAACATAAGTTAAACATCCTACCTTGAAGATTGTAATGAAGTATACATGTCAGCAACCTTTCCCTGCTTTTTGGGTCAATTAACAACTTAAGCAGAGATTCAAACACAAGCAACATGAGAAATGTTTTACTTTTCTTATCATGTTATAAAGACCTGTATAAGTTGAAATTGTCCAATGGGTTGGCCAAATTGCTCTCGCTGTCGAACATAGGGAAGAACAACATCAAGGCAAGCCTGCATGAGTCCAAGAGGTCCAGCTGCCAAAACAAGCCTCTCTAGATCTAGGCCCGACAACATGACATAAACTCCTGAAACAGATAAGAAATCATGGTGAGGTTCTTCTAGTTTCAATTATAACCATACATGTGCCACTGAGAGAAAGGTTTACTGTCCTCAAAGCCTCTATCAAGAAGTTGCAAGAGATCTTAAGAGCATGTTTGTTAAGCATAAACAGTTTAGTTATAAGTAAAAAAGTTTCAAAATAAATAATTCTTTTATTAGTGAAACTTGGAAATAATAAGTCAATTCGAAGCTAACGTAAGAATTACTTTCAAAATAACAAAATTCTTTTACTTAAAGTAAAAAAAGAACAAAAGTAACCTATCCAAACATCTCTGGAAATAAAAGTTACATAAAAGTAACTTTTAACCTTTTTAAAGCTTAGCCAAATCTGCTCTGAAGTCAATATGAGTGTTTATTATCAGAATATACTTCAATTTGAGGGGGGGAAAGGTTGAAGGCTAATCGCTATGTCCTGAATATTGGACCAGAAATGTATAGAAGCTGGAAAACTAAAACTCTCCGTAATAAATATTCCAGCTCAGACATAAGACTGGCAGTTCTCAAACATCTAACCTTTATGGGGCATGCTGCCTAATAAAGCAGCAAGAAAAAAAAATTCATTTTGGTTAATGTAAAAAATCAGGCCACTTTAACGTTTTGACTTCTTTCTAATTATACTCGTACTAACAATTTAGTATCAAATGGAAATGAACACACTCTACCCTGGCTCCAAAATTAGAAGTCATTGCATATTGAAGTGAAGGGGTATGAAACTTCTGGTGTCATAATATAATTTATGTCATTAATTGAATCGGGTTAATGTAGATACCTTTCCCTTCCTGGCCCAGAACATTTTCTTCAGGAACAAAACACTTATCGAAAACAAGCTCGCACCTGCAATTTAGTTCCCATTTTAAGTCATCTTCTATGGAAAGAGAAAAATACAAATTCAAAGCAGGACAGTATTACATCATGAGAAAATCAAACTTACGTATCACTTCCTCGCATCCCAAGTTTGTCTAGTTTCTGGGCAGTGCTAAATCTGCATTTCACCATGATTAGAAAAAGACATGGAAGTTAAGAATTGCCAGCATATAATGAGTTACTTTCAGCAATGCTCTTTTACTAAATGACCTTTTTTAATGGCCTATCTCCAGAACCCAGATGCGCCAAAGTATTGTCTCATTAGAGAAAAGAGGCACATAAATGGCATCAGATGGTCACACAAATTATTGGTCTTTTTGCATCTGTATATCATCTCAGTATAAAATCTTGCTAATCAATATTTTTTGAGAAGGTAACAAGTCATCATACTCTTGAATCTAAGAGAATGTTTGGTTGTGCTTAAAAAGTAAGTCAATTTACTAATCAGTTAATTTTGCCAAACATGGTTTTTGAAGTAAGATTTTACAAACAAAAGTTGCATTATTAGAAAGAAGTTTTAACTTCATAGAAAAGTAAATTTTTTAAGCACAATCAAACATGCTCTCAGTCAATTTTAGTGTGATTGGCCTCTTATCAGAATCAAATGATCCACATCTTTGCCATGACATATTTTTACAAGTTAAAGGCACATGTATTGAGTGCATCTTCACTGTCAGCAAAAGATGCGTACCCAGACATTCCCTTCTCAATTATGAAGGCCGTTATTCCTTTGGAGCGAGCTGCCACATCTGTTTTTGCATAGACAACCTGATCCAAACTAAATGCCAATTACGACGAGTGATGCAACCAAATCAAAAAGAAGAACGAAGGGAAGATAAATTTTCAATAATAGTTACTACATTGTCACAATGGAACACCGATACACCGTAGCGTGCAACAGAAACAGAATTTAGAAAGTTAGTTTACATATATTTGGTAAATGGCTCTTACAAGTCATAATAGTTAATACTAATTAGTCGCTGCATCAGTAAATTCGCTCTATACAATTTATCTAAATCTAAGTACTGTAAAATGGGTTTAAATGCAATTAAAAATCCACAAGGAAACATATTGACATCTATATGGATAAATTTCAAAAAAGGGGAAAAAAAAGAGAGTAAATAGTGACCCACAACCCAAGAATAGAACTTTAAATAACTTTTGATAGTCAAGGACGATACCAGTGTCTGAGCAATTGGACCATTTGTGCACCACATCTTATTCCCATTCAGAATGTAACCACCATCAACACGCTCAGCTTTGCATTTCATGCTAACAACATCTGAGCCAGCTAAATAAAACAAACAGAAGTAGCTCAGGTCACACAAAAAACATCTACCTGAAAATTTTGTTCATCAGGATAAAGAAAGTTTCAGATGAATTACCATTAGGTTCACTCATTGCAAGAGCTCCTACGTGCTCTCCAATGATTAGCTTCACAAGAACAAAACAGATGCTGAAGTCAGCCACCCTCCTTGGAAAAATGAATCCGCTACTTCCAAAAGTCAAGCTTATGAGCTTATAATTTTTAGATCAAAGTGTCTATAGGGTATTAGGTGTACTTTTTACATATACATCAAAACACTAGCCACGGAAGTGCTTGTTTCAATGATTAAGAAGTAAAAAGGATTAAAAGTAGTTTGTCAGGTTTGCTACTTCAGTTAAACTGTCAAATTCCTTTACCCTAATCGTTTCCCTTTTTTAAAGTCAAATTTCAATATGAATTCAATCATGATTCATAGCAATAAAAGGCTACGAAACAATGTCTACAGAAAGATTAATCGATGTGATGGAAGCGAAACCTTTGGCAAATACTTTTCTTTCTGCGCAGGGGTTCCATGCCTCACCTACAAGATTATAAATGTTATCAAAGCTTTTGATAGGTAATGATGATAAACAAGTCACGAAAAGTCAAAATATAAGCTTAATTAGTTACCAATTGATTAATGCATAGGTTAGAATGTGCACCATATGAAAGGGCAACTGACCCTGAAGCACGACTTATTTCTTCCATAGCTATGCAGTGATATAAATAACCTAGGCTCATTCCTCCATATTCCTCTACAAAAGTTCAACGAGTTCGGTTTGAATCACAATTTGTCAACACAAACATGAGCATTTAGACGTTACACGCATTAAGTGTGATCAGTTAGATGCTGGCCACAGAAAGAAACAAAAATTACTAGATCTAAATGTGCCTGCCACTCAGCTGTCTTTTTCAGAAGATATGCTGTAAAAGGAAAAAGGCCAAATAGTTGCACAAGATACATTTTTTCCTTAATGATCAGCGCACTGGTAAAATCTCCATAACATAAGAGGGTGTTTATATATCTCCCACGTAGATCGGTTTTCAAAAATTTTATATGGAATTTTTATGTTAAAAAGAAATTTTGACAACGAAAAGCCCCTTATTCTTTATTTTAAAACACAGAAGAATAATAATTAACATAAGACTACAATAGATATCTAGGAATGCAATCTGAACATCGTCCAAAGGCTATAATCTCAACTATACTTTTCCTCGATGAGTCTATAATGAGTAATGCCATACCGAATTGAATAATAATTGCTTGTGAATGCATGAGCTTTTTGTACAATTCTTAGCCTAATAGATTGTCAATTTTGTAACATAGTGAACTTCAAATGAGGAAAGTCTGTAATCAAGCAAAAATAGATCAAGGAAGATGCTACGAGAAATAACAAAAACTCTCAAGTCCATTTTTCTGCTTAGAATCCTAGAACCAAAAAGACAGAGGGTAGACATGGTTTTTGAGGGGATTTATAAAATTAACAGTACTGAATTTTTTTTGCATTTGCTTCTGTAAACAACAAAGATCTTATCTACAAACTAGAGCAATATAAAGCACAGTGGATGAGTTATTGTGATGAGAGGTTCTACCTGGAGCAGTGATTCCATGGAGACTAAAATCACCCATCAGTTTCCATAAATTAACTTCCTGATATGAGAAAAAGGAAAGAAGTTTTTTAAAAAAATTATATTTTCTAACCAAGTGCAAGTGAAATTATGTAACTTCTAATTGAATATAGATCAAGTGCAATTATGTTAACCTTAGGAAGATAATTTGTCCTATCTATTTCTGAGGCATAAGGGGCAATATTTTCTTGAGCAAACTGAGCTACACTTTCCTTAAACTGTAAACACCGCAACAAAATAACTTGTTAAACAGAATGTTAAGTGATAATATGTAACCAAATAAGAGGTTATTACAGAAAATACTGTTCGATAAGATGATCCATAAACAGTATATCAAAACGAATTTGAATCCAAAACTTAACTCGCTAAATCTTCAGTTGCATCAGAGAGATGCTAACAGTGATCACATAATTCTGACTCTACAAAGTACAAAGTCACTTTATCCTATAAAGCAACTGAAGAAGTTATATAGAATTAATGAAACCAAGGTTTATTGTTTGACTAGTTGGTGAATATTGATTAATGCACGGTCCGTTATCAACAAATTCAAACAACCCAGCTCCACCCCCCGATCCTGATTCCCTAACTGGACGAGGACAAGGATCATGCCCCTGCCCCTGCCCCTGCCCCTGCCCCTCCCCCTACTCTTATTTTTAATTTTACTTTTTTAATGTTTTTAAATGCAAATCGTAATTAAAAATTTAAAAATAATATTAAAAAAATGCAAACCAGGTGTAAATAGGGATATTTTAATCTTGACGTCCGGTATCAACAAATTCAAACAACCTACCCCAACCCCTGCCCTGGGAAAGCAAGGAGGGGCAGACTTGGGCTAAGCAAAATTTACTGAAATTTTTATCAATTCGAATTCAGGAAATCACTTTGAATTCCTATTCCAACACCATAATTCCATGCTTCCAAACACAGACTTAAATTATTTCAGGTTCTATTGTCTGTCGTTTTGCTTACATTCTAAAGTCCGTAAGCCTAATCTGAAATCAAACCGCAATGATTTCTCTTCTTTCTTTTTATTGACTAATCTTTTCATTACATCTTCTTCTGACAACGTCTTTTATTTATACTAATCGAGAAATTGAAAAGATTCCATATTCTACGAGAACAGAACATAATCGAGGAAATAAATACACTGAAATCATAAAAGCAAACATAAACACCAATAAAATTATACGGCAAAACCTGCTTCTGGGTATCATCGAAGAGGAAGGAAGTAGAAAACGCAGCAGAAAAAACTCGTTGGGGTTGTTTTCTGAATAGTGAAGCGTTTAGGGACTTCACCGCAAACATTCTCTGCATCTTATTTTCTGTGAATTGAGGATGCCGATGAGAAATTGGGGAATGGGAAAAATACAAGAGCAGAATTGATAGAGTCGTAGAGAGCAGAATGAGTCATGCGTTGCATTTCGCTGTAGCAATCTCTCTCAGTAAAATAGCTGTGGGCGTGTTTGGATAAGCTTAATATTTTAAATTATAAGTTATTAAAATAATTTCTTGTTCAGGTTACATCTGTCGTTCCTATGATCCTATCTATTCATATATTTGGCACTTATAAAGTGTTTTTCTGGATATAGTTGAGTTCCTCAACACAAATTTTGTGTAAACTGTCAACTGTCAAGTCATTGCAAAAGGAGAAAATTATCGTTAAATTTAAAGAACTAATAAATAAATAAATAAGTAAAATGGAAAAGAAAAAGATAATTATTTGTAATTAAAAGTTAATTGATGCAAGTACAAATAAAAAAGTATAACTTATAAGTTGGTCGCTTTGTATATTTAGGAGGACGTATACCATTGAAACTTTTAAAGACTTTAAAAAATTTAAATATTCAGGTCTTGGGTCTGATCCTCAATGATCACCAGTTTGAATCCCCTTAGGACAATTGAGGTGAATACTCGACCGTAAATTTCAGAGCATCGTGAAATTAGTCTAGGTGTGCACAAGTTGGTTCGGACATCCACGGTTATCAAAAAAATATTAGCCTATGTTTGGTCCCATTAAAATCTTAATATATTTTTCACTTTATTCTTTTTAACCATCCATTTTTTAATAAAATAATATTATTCGTAAATAAAAAATGTTTCCTTCTTTTTTAACCACACATTCTTCCAAAAATTATTATTCCAAAATACATTATTTCCAATAATTTCATTATTATACTGGGGGCCAAACAACTCCCTAAAAGTATCGGTGTGTTCAATCGAGATTTTTTGATACTATCTAATTTCTTATGGCTCAACTCACCTAAAATGATATATTTCGCTCATAACGATGAATCTGTGAGCTTGTGAATCAACTCGTGCAAAATGACGAACAACTCGTACAAAAATTTGCTCGAATACGAGCCGAACCAGCTCGATTTGTTCCCACTTAAAACTCCCAAACTACCTTCGAAGTAGCACTGCGGATATAAAATGTTATTTTTGTCAATTTCCTTTTTAATTTTGCATTAGTACAGACCTTATTGGGCCACGAACTCCAGCCCAGAGTTTTCTTGAGAAAAGGGCAAGCCTTTCTTAAAACAAATCTATGCTGTAGCTACTTTCATTTTCATCAAGTGATTACAGCGGAACGCTTTGAACTCTTTCAAAATCGATCAAAATTCACATTATTAGACATCGTGGATATGAATGTAAGTTCTATTTGATTCGGTATCATGTTTTAACGTTAAAATATCGATGTGGATACTTGATTTTTTGTTTTTGATTATGTTTTGGGTTAAAATTACTTGCAGTCTGTCGCTTCGAATCCGGCTACCAATAGCTTGATCGGCTCTGAAGCTGATTCCCAAAGAACTCTGTATGTTTTTTCCTACGTACGAAATTCTGATAATTTGGTTTTGATGGAATTAGAAGAAACTAGGGTGTTACCCGACCAATTCTCAAATTTAGTAAAGTTAGGTCTGTTAAGTCGATGGAAATTATCTTATCGTTTTTAGTGGAAAAAACATTTGTTCTATGTGCGCAAGACGTAGTTTTTTTTGTTCCAGTTTCTCATTATAATTTTTCTTCCCAAATTATATGTTTATGATTCGGGCGGTGTAGGTATCCGTATGTGACAGGTACATCAGTGGTTGGCATCAAATACAAGGATGGTATATTATTGGCCGCCGACATGGGAGGTTAGATCCTGAATCCACATTTTATTTTGCGATTTGTAATCGGTCATATATAATTGTGTGGGCATGCATGTGTATGTATACCTACATAGGTATTTAGGCTTGCACATGTGTATGCAATAATCTGCATTTTCTTTGATATTGATCTTCTACCAGTTCAATGCTGGACTGGTTGCAGTTCTGTAAGATACCAACATTTTATGAAGTATTTGTTGTTGTAAAACATATAATTAGCAGGTGTCATCACTCCTGATAGCTTCACATGCGAGTGGTGGAAAAAAAAAAGAGGTTATGCCGAGAGTGTGCCCTTTTATTCTCTGAGCTGGGAAATGAGTTGGGCATTTGATCGATATTGATGTGTTTGCTTGAACTCTGCCTGAAATGCGTTTTAAACTATTATACTCCCTTATGAGTTGTGAACACATTTTCTTTAGTGAATTGGTTTTTCTCGTTTTACTGTCTCTTTTGGTTGAGTTCTCCTGAATTTTTGGTTGAAGGTGTTTTCATTAAATAACGTTGGGTAATTGAAAAGTGTCTACATAATTTGAGTGTAGTTGGTGAGAGAGAGTTTAGATGGACTTGTGGTTTTAACAAACGGCTAGAAGAAGAAATAAGAAATTAAAAATATGCTGGTTAAGGTCATGCCAGAGTATCCTTTATGAGAGAATTGAGTAAGATGGTTTAGGCATATTATCGAAGGCTACTAGTGCTTTGGTTATGGAAATGAGTTTTATTACATTAACACAAAATTCAGAAAGTTGTGTTGGACTGAGCTAGAGGTGGCAGATGGAAACAAAATCACAATTAAGCATGTTATTCTCCCGTTTGACCCCCATTAAAATTATAATTCATTTTTCTCACTATTCTTGTTAACCACATATGCTCCAATAAAATAATGTTACACGTAAATCCAAAACAATTTCTTTTTTTTTTAACCGCACATTCTTAAAAAAAAATACTATTTCAAAAATTATAATCTCAAATAATGACAAATAATGGGGGTCAAACGGGGGCTATGTGAGCTAAATTGACAGTTATGGAATCTAGAAACGTAGGTTTGCTGATGATACAAGCAACTGTCTTGGGGATAACTTTGACATTATAATGTTTAGGGAGAAAGATACACTCATGAGTCACAAATACAGCATGGAATCGCTATATGTGTTACTCTACCATTTGATGTTATGTTTTATATGTAACTATGTGTCAACTTTGTTCTGAGTCAAATGCTTTTGTAATTTTCATTTGTAGGTTCCTATGGGTCTACCTTGCGTTACAAGAGCGTTGAACGATTGAAGCCTGTGGGAAAACATTCTCTCATTGGAGCGAGCGGTGAAATCAGTGATTTTCAGGAAATAATGCGTTATCTTGATGATCTTATGTAATTGTTCTCAGCAACTTCTTTAGAGAATAATAAATTTGAAACAAACTCATGTTCTTGTCCCTATATCTTTTGGTATATCATTACCTTGTCTTAAAGAAATTGGCATGTAAGTGTGAAAATTTGACTCTTTTTTATTCATGCTGTGGATGTAGCTTGTCCGATAACATGTGGGATGATGGGAATTCATTGGGTCCTAAAGAGGTGCACAACTATTTAACCCGGGTCATGTATAATCGCCGCAATAAGTTCAACCCTCTTTGGAATTCACTTGTACTGGGAGGGGTGAAAAATGGTCAGAAATATCTTGGAACGGTAAATTGATGTTCATATTTACTTGGCATACATTTATAAATTTTCTGTTATAAGTTTTGTTTTGAAGTTGTGGCTAAATTTGTCTAAATATATGTGAACTTCCAGGTCAATATGATTGGTGTTCATTATGAGGACAACCATGTGGCTACTGGGTTTGGTAATCACCTTGCACGACCTCTTCTCCGTGATGAATGGCATGAGAACTTGACGTTTGAAGAGGGTGTCGTACTACTAGAAAAATGCATGCGTGTGCTTCTGTATCGCGATAGATCAGCTGTCAACAAACTTCAGGTTTTGTTCTCCCTATGTGGAATACATACTTCATTACTTCCTGAAAACTGTTGTACTGTTTGATGTCTGATTATTTTCTGCTGCGTCTGATTATTTTCTGCTGCCTCTTGCTACTCGCTTGAAATTTAGAGCAATTAGAAATATCGCGAGGATACAAGACTAACTTATATCATGAAAACAAAGTTGTTTCATATGCCTTCATATTCCTATAGAAATTGTTATATCTAACCAGCCAAAGAACATATTTGTTCCGCACAATATATCTTATGCATAGAAAAAAAAAACTAGGAATTTGAGGTGCTTTATGTAATTTATATTTCATGAATCCCGCTATCACTAACAAAAAGAGGGCAGCTGAGAAATCATGGGATGGGGGAGGATATAAAGAGGTAATCGAAGCCCATTACACATTTCACAGTGTTTTACGCATTGCATTGGAAGTGGATGAAGGAACTTTTGTTATAACTTTTGGTAAATATTACTTGATTTTAATCTTTATGATGAGCTAGATTTTTTTGTTGTTTTAAGCTTGGCAAAGTTAATGGGAGTTGTCTCCGTTGTGATTTGTATATTATTGGTGCAATTCTCCTTTAGTTTTTTCCTCTGGGTAAGCATAGGTTCATTTTTCCAAATATTATATTAGGTTAAATTATATTGAGTTTGTTGTAGGGGTTGGCTTAATTCTCCTAACTTTGCTGCCTGAGGATATCCTTATTTAAACCAAAGTAGTTGTATACGGTGGAAAGTGCCAAGTGACGTGATATTAGGTCAAACTTTCTTGCGAGATGAATATTTCCATGACATAATTTATTTATTATGTATAAATGCAGATTGCGAAAATCACAGAAGAGGGAGTAACAATTTCGTCGCCCTATGCATTGAAGACTTTTTGGAATTTCTCCGCTTTCGAGAATCCTACCCTCAGCGCTGAGGGTTCATGGTAGCTCTGATAGTTTCAAAATATGCAACAGTTTTATTGAATTTCATTTGATTGCATGTTTGAAACATAGACCAACACCACCTTTGTATTGGCTATTTCGTCGTCCTTGGTAACCTTTTGGATATCTTGCTGGGTATTACATCCATGAACTGGAGCTATTATGTTATTCTGAGCCACTGGCTTTTTTACAGAGTTTTCCCGTTGCCTTTTTCTAAATTTTGAGATGCATAAAGTAGGAGGTGGATAAGGAACG